AGCCGAAATGCAGTACTCAGGCAATGACTTGATGTCTTTGCCACCGAAGCGCATTGCTGCTAACCCATAAGCGATCCGGTTGCTGATATTTACAGGGAACTGCATCTCTCTGAGCTGAGGTCTCCCTTGAGTGGACGTAGCTCGGAGGGCGTGGAAAAGTTTTTTCCCAACAGTTGCTGCCCCCAGCGAGACATTGACCAGGAGAACGAGTCTCTCCTCCACTTTTCCAGTAGCCGCAACTTTGCCACGATCTTGTCCGGCTGCCTCGTCTTTGGCTGCCATGGCCTTTGCAATCGTCTGGAGAGCTTTTGAGGTCTCGTCGAGTTGCGGTGGCTCTGCGTCACTGTACGCTCCGATGTGCCTAGGCCGACAGGCTGCTGCAAAGATCCTAGCAGCATCTGGTATGGTGTTGGAGGGATTGGCTGTCATCCCAGTGGGGAGGTCTTGAGATCCTTTGGGTCTGAAAAACGCTTGAGGATTAGAACCGGCTGGTGGTGTGGCCCGGGATGGAACCACATTGCGCGCTGGCGTTGCAACTTGGGGGGTTCCTGCCAACTCTCCTGAGAAGGGGCTCTGGCTTGCTGGGGTCCGAATGCTCAAGACAGGGTCTTCACCCTCGGACTCGAGCCCCCTGGCAGGGCAATCCTCAGTAACCAGTTCGATGATCGCCTTCTTGGCTAGTTGAGGGTATTCTTTGGGGAGCTTCGCGACATACTGTGTTGCTTGGTCCTTAAGCTCTTCCCAGGTCTCGTGTGGCCCACAACTGGGCGTTGCGCAGTTTTCAAGTGCTTCTCTGGGACCTTTTCCCTCGAGAGCGAGCCTCAGGTATTTTCCCAAAAGAGCAGCTTTCTCGGCGCCTTTGGCAGGGGGAAGTTCAGAGCTCTCACCGGGCGCGGAACGCGCCTCGGTGATCGCTTCTGGGGTCCTTTCGGCTGACACACTTCTTTTGGGCGCTTCGTTCCCTTGGTTGGATCTGCTCTTGGAGGGGCGGGGCCTCTCATCTTTGGAACTGTGGGCCTTACACAATCTGAGCCCTCCTTTGGTGATCTTTACCTCACGGTCGCATCCTTCCACGACGCAGGTGTGTCTCGCGGCTTGTCCCTCATAATGAAATATATAAGTTGCCATCCTCATGTCGGAGGTCCTCAGCGCTGCTGATCTCGGCATCGGAACTCAGCAACTATCACTTTCTCTCCTCTCGCTGCATCTTTGCACGCAGTCAGCGACAGTGGGGTGGCCTTTCCTTGAACGAGAAAAGCAACTGACTCCGCTTGACATTGCGTCTCGTCATCAATCTCGGACTCTGTTTCGGAGTTCTCATGTCTCGGTGTTGACGTGCCGCTAGAAGGCGCGGCCCGATTTCGGGTCCTTGGTCTGCGCGCTCCACATCCCAAGCAGCACAGGCATTTCACCGCTCTTTTGACTCCCCGGTAGCAGCTCCCGCATAGGCCGACACTGGTATATCCACAAAGCCATGCAGCTGTTGCACAACGAGCTAAAGGGCCTTTGCCTGCAGCATCTTGCAAGTCATACTCGGCAGTTCGAGGTACAACTGCTGAGGCGATCACGTGAAGGCAGTCATCATCTGGTTGTGTGCAGGGGCGAGCGGCGCACAAATGGACACAACAACTCATGCCCTCCAGTTGGTTTCGGAAGTAGCGATGAGAGGCTGCATGGACATTGTCGCACTCGGCTTTGAAGCCGCGCCGATTGGTACGACCCCGTAATGTGCCGTGCCTTCAACCGTGTGCTACTCGCATTTACTTACCAAAGGGCACAGCAAAGGAACAAGGGCGTGGAAGAAAATCATACAAAGTCTTTAGTCTAAATCATCTTTATCAAAATGAGGAAGATTATTAGAATACATATTTCATAAATCCTGAGGAATGAACGACCCTGCAATCTTCTCCCCAAAAGTCCTGAACCCGGCCAAGTTCGTAGCATAACAGTGTATTATCTTGCACAGTGGACTTACCCTTCATCACGCTTTATTTTGCGGGAAAAGAGCATGAACCTGAACGAACGGCGATAATAGTCTTCAACCGAACTGTCCGAAAGTGATCAGTGCACTGCTTTGGTCAGAGCAACGACTTTGCTGAAACAAAATGTGTTTACACAGTCATTGAATGCACTTCTCTGCAGTCCTTGCGGATTTGTCTCACCCAAACAGCTGGTGGTGCAGTACCAGTACCACCTTGCAGGGAGGAGGTATGGATGCTTGTATTATTTTTATCTATCAACTTCGTGATTGTCCAGATATATATATATATACATATAAATCTCAACAAGTTTATTCAACCTCCATCCACCTCCTCTTTCGAACAGCGTGTGCAAAACAGAACCAAACACGAAAGAGAACCTGTTTCTGCAGCACCGTCCTGATGTTGGCAAAGGAATATTCTGGAGCTCATGGGCAATCAGCAGCTTCATATGATAAGACGAGGGGATGACAGCCCATTTCCGGTCTGTGCCGGTGAAGATGGGTGGCAAACCAAATGTGATGGCATCCTTGTCGATGACCCCGCCCACGTTTTTCTCCGCAATCATTCTTGCACCTTCGTCAGTCTCAACATTCTTCACCAAAGAGAAGCCTTGCTTGGCGATGTTCTCCAGGTGAGCCCTGGCCGCTGCATTTTCCACACACGAAGGCAGCCCGGGACATCGCACAACGGCAAAGGGGTCGAAGGTATCTTTCTTCCGAATGAGGCTCTCCAAAGCCTGCTTGGTGGTGTAAATGTCGCCGCCGAAGTAGTTGTAGAACATCTCTGCTAAGTCTGCGTCCATACCCCAATCATCCTGCAGCATCTTGATCATGTCTGACTCTGGCACTTCGCCGATGAGAATGATGTTGCCGATGTCCCTGAGGTCTAACCCTGCAGCTTGCAGGCGGAAGGGATACCCAAACTCTGAGGAGATGAGGACTACGCTCGACAGCTTGTCTTGCTTTGTCCATTGTGTCATCGCGGCCAAAGCTGACTTCGCTTCGCGCCTCTCCCCACCATCCTGTCCATTTGTCAAGCCGGGTAGTGCAAGGTTTGCCTCGTCCACCACAATTGCAGGTTTTTTGGATGTTCTGCCCACGATCCGTAGAAATTCATCCAGCGCAAACCTAACCCTTTTCCTTTTGTCTGCAGCCAGACTAACAACATCCCTCACATTCATGGCGATGGTAGCCGCTGCCTGACCGAGGTCTCGAAAAACCACAAAAGCTGCAGCCAAAATCGCCAAAAGTGCAGGAATGAATGGCTTGAACTCTTCTTCAGTGGTCATGTTCTCCACGGTACTGTTAGCAACTTGTAGCAACACCTCCAGCAAATTTTCTCCAGGATGGCTTCTCATGTCCTCTGAGAGGACCATCACGTTGGAACCACACCTTTGCAGAGCTTTTTTTTGAGAAATGTTTTTCCTAAGTTCTTGCCCCCCAAGACCAAGGTGAACAATCCTGTCGTCTCCATTGACCGCACCAAAGCCTGTATCGCATCACTCCTGTCAACAATTTTGCTGGAATTCATGTGACTGTATGCAAGCGCAACAATGCTCTCCATATGTGTCTGGTCATCAGTCTTGCTCCTACTCGCCGCATTCTGCACGGCTGCCCAAAACCCCTTTCCTTCGCCCACGTCAACACGAAGAGGTAGACCACGTAGCTTCACTGAACGCGGTGGATGTCTTGTTGTCCCTGTTGTCAAAAAACATACAATCACACTTGCCCAAAGCACACATGCGAGCGCACCACGCCATTTGCGTGAGCCGGACATTTCATAAAGTGTAGTCAGGAGTATTCAAATAACTTTGAAAAGTTCATCAGATGGCAACAAATCATGCGAATGTCCCTTCTGTTTTTGAATAGTTGACCTGTCTTTCCGAGGCTGCAGTAAAGGTTGACCATGCAAAATCTGTGAGCGTCTTTACACATCTCTGCGCACGTACCACTGATAGTGTGAACACTAAGTTCCTCCACTAGAATGAGGTTTAAAGAGAAGCAACTTCCAGGGTTTCCTGTGCAAGTGTGCCCGAAAAACAATGAACATTAATGTCCAAAGTTTGCAGTTGTCCTCGGAGAAATTCCTTCATTTGCAGTGGCTTTAAGAGAAAGGACGACACAGGCGGAAATATTCAGAGTTTGTAGAACCATATGGAAAACATGCTTGGTTCGGTGGGAAAATCTGTTACCGACTTTGCACCGATTTCAGGGAAATCCGTCACTGATTTGGGGAAATCTGTCACCGATTTTAAAGAAATCTGTCCCCGAGTTTGGGGAAGTCTGCCACCAATTTTGAGGAAATCTGTCACCGACTTCGGGGAAATCCGCCACCGACTTTGGGAAAATCTGTCACCGACTTTGGGGAAATCTGTCACCGACCTTGGGGAAACCAGCCACCGACTTTGGGAAGCTCCGTTTTCAGGAAAAATCTCCGTTTTTGGAAAAATTTATTGGGAAAAACATGTTCCGTTTTT